ACACAGAGAGAGAGAGAGAGAGAGAGAGAGAGAGAGAGAGAGAGAGAGAGAGAGAGAGAGAGAGAGAGAGATTTCTCGTTGGCTTTTACCTCGGTTATTTGTCGGTTGCTCGTCATGGAGCTTGGTCGTCTAAGATCCTGCTCCCATTATTGGGTGACAGTCTGCTTCAAACACAGTACCACCTCACTCTGAATTACTAGCCAGCCACGGGTTGCTGTCTTCTAAATCGCTCAGCCTGTATTGCTCCCGTCTTCATTCCTGGCATTAACTACCGGACTCGGTCTAATATTTCCAAATAACCGGACCAAGCTTGAATGGTATCTGCGTTACGTGGTCTGGTTTTCTGCCGCCTCTAGATTGCGAGGCCTTTTTCTGCAATGTCTCCTATGGATTAGGAGGACTTTTATGCATATTGTTATCGCTGGGTAAATACTTTATCGACAGGTGTCAGTTAAATAAACTGCAGGGCTGGATCTGAGCAAAAGTTCATCGACAGGTGTCGCTTACACTACGGCACTGCATTTCTATCATGAAGGGCATTTGCGCAAAAAGTAGGGCTTCAGTTTTGCCCATAGGGATTGCTACACTGAATTAGTACGGATATGGCCCTGTTATGCCATTTTGGTGTCCTATGTGAAACTCCCATTTGCGTCATTAGGTGGTCGTTTAAGTAAAATGTGGTTGTCCTGTCACCCGGGTGTGTGTTTCCGTCACCTGATCTGTGCAGGTATGACCTGGGAATTCGACCGCAGAGTTTGCTAAACAGAGTTTGCTATGCTTTACTTATCTCCTGCAAATTTAGTGTGATTGAACTTAACTACGGTTAATGAATACATGTTTCTGTGAAAGGATATTGTGTGCTTCAAGACCTTGGACTGCTTTTATCTCAATGCTGAATGATGACATGCTGTCCTGTCCAATTCTGGCGAGGTGTGGGTATTCCAGGTGCTGAACACACACATAAACACACACGCACACACACACACACACACACAGAGAGAGAGAGAGAGAGGTCAACTCCGTTGACGTGCAGATATCCCAGGCATCACACAGTAAATTGGAACACAGGCATGGGGAGAGAGAGAGAGAGAGAGAGAGAGAGAGAGAGAGAGAGAGGTGGGTGGGAGGTGGATAACGTTTTGTGCTCTGTAGAGGAGTAATGGAGGAGGTCTGCTGTTCTCATGATGTCCACGTGGAGGGAGAGATGGGACTTGTGTGACCTCGTATGGTGTTTTATGAATGCATTGTAATTGATGTCTCTTTTCGAAAGGAGAAACTACTTGTTTGACATTGTTTGGTACGTAAGTAATTGTTGGAGCACATCTTCGTAGAGGGCTTTGGAAGGTGCATTGTGTTACAGAGAAGTCCCTAAGAGCCTAAGAGGTACTGGTCCCCCGAATGTCACACGCCCTGCCACTGAATGCACACGTAGAGAAGTCCCTAAGAAGAGTCTGACGTATGGTCCCCCGAATGTAATGCCCCCCCGAATGCAATGAAACTGAATTACAATGACATTGAATGAATGCATACAGGCTATCTTTTGGGTCTGGCACAGCCATGATGTGATGGGGTGGGTGTGTTGTGTCCAGGGGAAGTCGTACGTGGTACATGTGGAGGAATTTTTTTTTTTTTTTTTTTTTTTTTTTTTTTTTTTTTTTTTTTTTTTTTTTTTTTTTTGAAATTTTTTTTAGGCTCCCCCCCGGGCCCCCCGGGTCCCTTTTTTTTTCCCTGGGGGAGGGTCCCAAAAAAAAAAAAAAAAAAAAAACAATCCCAAAAGAAATCCGAAAAAAAAACTATGTTATGCAGAAAAACAAACAGAACAACTTTTGCCTCAGGGTCATATCAAAATTCTTTACCAATTTAAAAATAAAAATAAAAATTGATTTTTTTAAATTTATTTTAATCCTTTTTGGCGCGGCCCGGGCCACTCTGGTAGCCTAGAATCCCTTGATAATTGCAAGAATTAAGGCGTGCAACTGGGTATTGTTGGTTGGCTATGTGTTTCGCCCGTGTGAGAATTAATACTTTCTGCCCTCAAATGAGGTGCCTAGATGAATTCTTATGTGCTTTATGTAGGCAGCTTGGAAAATGAATCCATGTTGTATTTGCAGAAGATGATGGCTTGCAATGGCGGCTTTTAGCGGCGAGGACTTCTGTGCTGTTTTTCCCAACCGCAGCCCTGAGTGTTCTGAAATGTCACGGTTTTCGATTGCGCCCCCTGCCTTCCCCACAGACTTTCACCCCTGGTAATCCTGATCCTGTCTGTGGCGCCGCAAGTCTAAACAGCAGTACCTTTCCCATATGTCGGCCGTGGGCACTGTGCGCCGGCCCGAAAACGCGGCAAGTTTAAACAGCAGTACCTAACGCGGCAAGTTTAAACAGCAGTACCTCTCCCATATGTCGGCTGTGGGCACTGTGCGCCGGCCCGAAAACGCTGCAAGTTTAAACGGCAGTACCTTTCCCATATGTCGGCCGTGGGCACTTTGCGCCGGCCTGAAAATGCTGGGAGTTTAAACAGCAGTACCTTTCCCATATGTCGGCCGTGGGCACTGTGCGTCGGCCTGAAAATGCTGCGAGTTTAAACAGCAGTACCTTTCCCATATGTCGGCCGTGGGCACTGTGCGCCAGGCCGAAAGAGCCGCAAGTTTAAACAGCAGTACCTTTCCCATGTGTCGGCCGTGGGCACTGTTTGCCGGCCCGAAAATCAAAACTGGCCGCCAATCCAATTTGTCGGCCGTCGCCCTTCCGTTTCAGGGCAGCGCGTTATCTGGTGCGCCTCTGAAAAAATAGCTGGGTAAGGTGCTGGTGGCTTAAACCCACCAGTACGCCACGAGTGCGCCACCGGTATGTTTACGTTTCCCCGCCGCGTGAAAAACAACTAAGCAGCGGTATTCATGGGCAACTTTCAGGTCCCGGCCACTGTTGATAAATTTAATCGGTGGCCCGTGTTGCATTTTGGGCCCTCCGAACGTTGCTGTGAGGGGGCCGTGGCGAATATATGCGAGAGGGGTAGGTGGTTTAATCGGTGGGTGTGTGCACGGAGGCAGGACTGGGTCCATATCTTTGCCACAGGTGACCGCCTGCTCTATTCCTGGGGGTCTTAATTTTTGAATGGTGGCTACGATCTTCACCCAAATAGAAAGCCCTGTAGGTGGTTTAATCGGTGGGTGCGTGCCCAAAGGCAGGACTGGGTCCTTATCATTTGCCACAGGTGACCCCCTCCTCTGTTCCTGGGGGACTTAATTTTTGAATGGTGTCTACAATCTGCACCCAGATAGAAAGCCTGGTCATAATAGCTTTGTCTCTAGGCTTCCAGAGTGTGCGTGGGGAACTTGCTCGAACGGGCAAAAATGAGTTAAAAAAAGAAATATATACATTTTGATTTCTATTTAAAAAAATGCGGTAAAGTATGTCGATGTCAACCTCTGACAAAATTTGCTCAGTTTATTTTTCTGCATCGCATACTTTTCCTTTCCGAAGATTTTTTTTTTTTTTTTTTTTTTTTGGGTTGGTCCGTTCCCTGGTCCTTGCACTGCTGGGTCACCTGGTCAAGCAAGGCCACCCGGGCGGCCCGGCTGGTAGCCCAACGTACGTTTATTTTGTTAACGTCTAGTTTAAGATGCAGTGATAATTACCTGTGAATTCTATATGGGGAAACAGGGTAGCTACCACAAGGGACTCCGATCGGAGGTGGCCGGTGCCATGCACATAGAGCCGTTGGTGGGAGGGTGGGCCTGTAGGTGGATACAGGAAGGAAGGGGCAATCCTGCAATTCAGGCGTACGAGTCGTGCTTTTGGCCTTTTCTGCAGTGTTTAAGAAAGGTGAGGAAGACCGTGTGTGATAGTAGGGCGGGAGGTGGAGGGAGGAAGAAAATGATAGGCAGGAATAGTGCGAGGGGTGAAGTCGAAAAGTGGAAGAGATTACTTGGTAAAGAACAGAGAGTGTGTGGGGGACAGAGGGAGGGAAGTGTTCAATCCGGGCTCAGTCGTGGATCCGCAACTAAGCACGAGCACACAGTCTTCCTGTTCATGTCGGAAGGGAATCCAAAAATATCGCGATAAAAACTGGTACACGAGGGGGAATGTGTGGAGTCCGCACCTGGAATTCGGGTCGGGAAAGGAGCATCGGATTTTGCATCCCATTTTTTAGGTTTGTGCAGAGCCTCTCTAACCCGGAGACGCACCTGCGATAGCCCCGATGACACCTTTTTTTTTTTTTTTTTTTTTTTTTTTTTTTTTTCCTTGCTCCAATCTATTGACTGATTTATTTTGAGACATTACTGCTCCCCCGGTGCGCTGCCCCGAGGAGGGGTTGTGGAATTTACAGTGACGGCTTTGGTATTTTTTATGCTCTCGTAGTGCTCACCGGGTAAATCTGGAATAATGCATGGCTTTGGTTTACGTGCCTCTGAATAGGGGCAAATAACTAGAAAAAGGGAATGGAAACAGTCTGTTGCTTTTGCCGATGAAAACCATGTTGTGTCCAGATGCGATGCATATGGTTGCGCGACTGCCAGCCCCATCCTCCAGTCCTTTGAGGGCTGGCAAAACTAGAGTATATCAGGAAGCTGAGGCTCGGACCCACTGTTTTTTTTTTTTTTTTTTTTTTTTTTTTTTTTTAATTATTTTTTCAACCTGCGACCTCTACTAGAGAGGAGGTGATAAATTAAAAAAAAAAAGAAAAAAAAAGGGGGGGGTGATGGTTCAAGTCACCAAACTGACATTTGGTTAAAACTGACATTCTTTTGCAAAATCATGAAAAAAAGGAATTCAGCGAAAATTGATTAGATTTTGTGTGTTAAACCACCAGTACGCTGACGAGCCACAATTTTAGGAAACGTACGGGCCACTACGGGAGCGCCGAAGTTCATCCGACTAGAAACGTTTCTACTCTTTATTTTTTTCCATGGCGGATAGATGGGCAAGGACTGGTGGTTTTAATCATGACTTGGGGCAGTCGCACGGGGACCTAAATTCACAAATATCTGGGGGGTTTGGTACCACGTATTTGTACCTTTGGGTGCCTCTTGCAGTCACACATGAGTTGTGTGTCCACAAAGAGAACAGAGTCGCGGCCCAGACATTTGTGCCTTACAGAACTGCGCGTCGTCACACTGGTTACACCCAGAAATTATATACATAGAGTTTTTCGTTTTCTTTTCCGAATGCTGAAATAACTCACACGGGTGTTTTGCTCATGCACAACTTTCTTGAAATACCTCACGGGGAAAGAAAAAAGCGAAAAGGCAATTTGTGACCGCCTCTGGAGGTGGTCTTGCAAAGAGTCTTCTCGTGGCCATGCAGGCTGCTGACAAAAGGGTCACCAAAAAGTACATTCGGGTAGCGGGCCTCTCCAATGTGCCCTGAAAACTGGCTCAAAATTTGGGATTTAAACCACCAGTGCTTCCTAAAGTTGTGCCCGTTAATTATCGGGCCACTACAGGCGGTCGATAGCTGGGCGCAGTACTTGCGGGTTAAGATCATCAGGTCCCCATGTGACTTTGCGCCCGGTTCTCAGCACGTGTCGCTCCCCACGAATAGACTGGAGCATTTGTTTTCAAAAAAAAGAAAAAAAGAAAAAAAGAAAAAAGGTCCCCATCCGACTATGCCCTTGGTGTGCAGTATCACTCATCCAAAGTCCTCCTGTTACTGGATTAAAAAAAAAAAAAAAAAAAAAAGAACGCTGGACCCGTTTTCCAGCAGGTGAGGCTCCCCACCAATAGATGGAGCTCTTGTTATAAAAAAAAAAAAAAAAAAAAAAGACCTTGTGGACGTGATTTCCAGCAGGTGATGCTCCCCACCAATCGATGGAGTGGCCACCAGCAGGCCTACTAGGGAGGGATGC